AAAGTCCAGTGGCATCTTAAAGACTAACACATTTATTCCCAGATCACTTTTTGTCACTCAGAGTTGCCACCTGATCTGACTCACAACAGCTTAATGCTGGAATGCGTTTTGGAATAATTTAATTAATCTTTAGGTATCACTGGACTGTTGTGCCTCTAACAGTAGTCTGAGATGAAGTAAAGAAGAAAGTGAGTGAAATTTTTTGTGGTATAGATATAAAGTGACAGGAAAAGCTTTGCTTGGTTATTTTTTTTGTCAAGACAGGTTGCCATAAAAGGCATTAGAGCAGGTCCTTTCCAGGGAAACGGCTGGATGGCACACGATCCAGCAACCTTCCTGAAGCTCAGCAGATCTGGTCTGGCTGGTGCCTGTTTGGGAGGGTCCCTTATATGTGCAGCTTTTATTTACTTACTGAATACACTAGGGAAAAGGCCCGTTGTGGAAATAAATACAACAGCCTCTAGAAAGAGGCTCTGGGCGGGTGCCCCGGCCTTGGACACTCAGTATCAATTTGCTGTGGCGACCTCAGCAGGGTATAATGAGCAGCAAATTAGCACCCTTTACCTATACGTATGGACTGTTAACTTCCATTTCAATGTATCTGAAGAAGTGTGTATGCACATGAAAGCTTATGCCTTGAATAAAACTTTGTTGGTCTTAAAGGTGCCACTGGACTCAAGTTTTATCCTCTGTTATGTGTAATAAACAAATCAGTTCCAGTTCTTTGCACAGGGAATCACACCTGAAAGACTTATGACAGGATTCACATCAAGTGTCTCTCTGCTAAAACTTCTCCATCCCCTTCTCCCTGGGATGTAGCCTACATACCAGCAGTGATCAGGGGGATTATTAACCCAAAGGAGCTCCCCCCTCCCCTTTGCTAGTACAGAAGGTGCAGACATTGGAGCCTCCGCCCTCTCAGCCCTTCCCGGTGTGTAGGGTCGCCATAGATCCCCCATCTTCCATAACCCATTCAAACAGAGACAAAACAATGGAACAATCCAAACATTTATTGAATGGGATGTTCAGCATTCTGAACAAAGTCTCTCATTCTCTTGTTCTTGAAAGGCTCCTGTGCCTTTGAAAGATGCACTGACAGGTGGAAGAATTACAGGTAGAACGGTCCCTGTCACTACATGCCCATGCTAAGGACAACTATAGTGCTCAAACTGTTGTCTGTTGAGCAGCTTGCAATGGTGACGGAGCCAAGCTACAACAATAAAGTTGGTGTCTAAACAAGAAAGCAGCCAGATGTACACTGGTCACTGCAGCTGTTGGTCCTGCTGTAGACTCAGCAGGTGGTTGGCGCTGTACTGTGAATGGCATCAGTCCTGGCTCTGTTTCTGCTGGAAGGCTGCCTGGAAAGAACCAAAGGAGTTGGTGGTACTGGTGCCAGGCAGGCAGAATGTAAGTTGAAGGAGGTGAAGATACTATACCCTGCCCCTCCTCTGGAATGCCCCAGC